ATACTAACCCCCTTGACCTGTTTAAATAAACTATTACCCACATTAAAATAATTCCAATTATTGCAAAATAAATACAAGTCTAAAAGAAAATCCACTTCCGCCTTCCCCATTCCAAGAATTATTGCCAATTCCCTTAGTGTATTGCTAGCGTCTTTAAAGAGAATATTTGTATACAAATCCTTAAAATCATAAGTTACAAAGGTACATCCACCCACTGAACTCAGATTAGTTTTCTCTATTAAACCAACCAATTCATAACTATTCCCTAAAATGGAATAGGGTAATGAGCTACTTTCTAAGTAATCCTTAAACCTAACCAAAATTGTCCTAAATCTCTTCTGTAAATATTTAGATGCCTCTACAGTGCACCACCCTTACCCAGTAACTATGGGCCTACCTGTTAATAGACTTTCATTCTCCATACTAGCCTTTTCTTTTAGTTTGTGTACTTTTGGAAGTAAATTCAGGCTAGGTAGAGTGTAATCCTCTATACTATTGCCTAAATTAAAGCCTTTATAATCCTTAACTGGTAACACCTCCGTATGTTTCTTTAAAATCGCTTGTAAAGATAACCGACGTCTAAGTTTTATACTGTCTACATCCCCCATATTCCCTACCATTTGATAAAAACCAGAATTCAAATGCCTATCATATTCCTGTTTATACCAAGAAGAATTGTTAAGAGACCAGCCCAGGTTTTTGTCACTCTCCCTCAGAATATAAGCATTATCCTGACTTAAATCTCTTAATAATTTTAACCCCCTTTGGTTACTAGACATCATCCTAACCGTATTAGCATGTAACGATCTACTTCTAACACTTCTAACATGATTTACAGAGTAAAAATCAACTAATTTTAAAACCTTGGTTATAAACCTTCTCTCCAAACAACCTATTCTAGGATGGAAAAAATAACGAAAAATTTCCTTCCTAACATTTCTGCTCCGCCCTCCCCCTTTCATCCTAACCCTCACCCTAACACCGGCTAAATATTCAACATAACTCAATACAGCTAGTTCAGTCTGTTTTTTAACTGCACGCTGCTTCTTTATGCCATCAGATGTAGGTTTTCCTTGCAAAACGAAACCACCCCCATAGTTCAATATCTGCCGCTCTTCTTTGGTTACATTGCATCCAGTAAAGTTATGTAAATTCACTCTATCACGTTGCCTTTCTCTTTCAAATGTAATGTCCTCACCATTTAGTCTATCCTTATGAATAAAGGATTTTAAATCACTTTGTGATAGAGCATCCCTCTCCTTTACAAAGGACAAAAAACAAAGCAAAGTGTCTTTCAGTTCACCCGCAATTACTAGGCCTCCTCTTGCATGTCTTTTCTCCTTTATTTTGGTATAATAATCTCGTCCTTTCTTGTTTCTCCACTGCGTTATTTCAGAGGTAATTAACTTCGTCGTACTCTCTACTATATCATCAACATTTCTCTTTATGGCCGCTAACTCCAATCCCATGCATTTCTCCTTTTCCTCCAGAACCAGCCTTGATTTTTCATCCTTACATGTCACTACGCCACAAACAGCTGTATATTCCACATCTGCTTCCTTTCTTAAATTATATATTTCAAACTTTAACCGTGCGAACGTACTGTACAGTCTATCAATCTTCCTCAAATCATTTCTTATAGCAGAAGTAATATAGCGAGAAAACGAACAATTCTTTAATTCAACAGTATTCTGCTCGCAGCGCGCACTGGAAATAGTTAACTTCCCTTTAAAAATTTTTAAAAAACTTGACCTAATCTATGCAATCACGTAGCCCAGACAGATTGCACAAGTTCACCAGTCGTCTCCCTACACAGCGAACTTCACCATTGAGGTAAGCATTCCTAACCCTTCAATCTCTGTATTTATCCTAAGTAAAAACACCTAGTATGTAGATACCTTACGAGGAAAAAACAAACCAAATTTCACTCACCCTTACTACTATAGACGACCGCAATGGACACTCCAACATGCCAAAAAGTAAAACGACCAAGAGTAGAGGTATGTAGTAGTATTTTTCAAACAAAAGACATCCTTAAGTGACAAAAGGCACGTAGGGCTCAGCCAAGTGGTATCATAATGGCGTCGAAACGTGTGGAAACAGGCTCTTTCTCCGAAAACCCGCCCCATTCCCCATCGGTATTATATTCTGCTAACCTCTCCCTCCCTGACCTGTTTCCTTGATTGCCTTCTGAGCTCCTGATGAGACAAGGCTTTCAACCTTATGTTTGGATAGGATGTTTTTCGTTTTTAAAGATGAGCTCATCATACCTTATTTATCATTTATACCTGGGTAACATAAGATAACAATAGTAGACATATTATCATAGGTAGGTCACTCATTTTTACAGCTATCACTAGAGGAAGAAAAAGAAATTAGATCATGCCTGGCGGCCATCGAAATGGAAGAGAAAAGAAAAGAAATCGAGGGAAAAGAGAATAAATTGCGGATCAGGGAAGAAGAATTAAAACTAAAAGAAAGAGAAAGCGTATTAGAGAAAAAAGAAAAAGAGTTAAAGGAGAAAGAAGAGAAATGTAAAGAAAAAGCAAATGAGTTAAAGAAAACCACAATGGAAGCCAAACGGGTGGCTGCCCAGCTCCAATTTATGGTCGGGCAGCTTGACCGTTTGGCAAACCACGTACTTTCAGAGATGTCAAAATGGAGAATTAATAATGTCGGACATTAAAGAAAATTTTAAGACAGTCAGGTGTAAGTTGATTTATTGCATAATTATTGTTCATGATTTCATTACGACAATAAAAAACAAAAAAAATTTTCTGTGTAATGATTCGTATAATTTATCTCTAAGAGAAATTTCGCAAATCTTGTAAGACCAACATATGCTTTTCCAAAAAAATACAAAGCCCAAGTGTTGTATATTTTGTGCTGTAGTAAATAAGCAATTCGTATAATCTTTTGTGAAGGAAAAGTTATCCTCTTATTGCAAGGTATGTGCCCCATCGCTGTCGTGCTCTACTTCCTCTGTTACCCCTATCTATCACTCAGATCTTGGTCCATAAATCCCCTTTCCTATAACAGCAATCCTATATCTTGAAGCATTGGTTTTCCTCAACATCCATCTTGTTCCCCTTTTTTTGCACAGGCAGCCTCATTAAAATCAGTAAATAATGTTATTATAGGTCCTTAATACATATTTCCCCTTATTCTCCTAAGTTACAAGTTAACAAATAATGCATCCCTCTAATTCCCTCTTTTTTGCTGAGGCAACTGAATTAAAATCAAAAATAATGTTATTAAAAGTTCTTATTACCCAGTTCCCTTAAATTCCCTAAATTTAAAAGTTAACAAATATTGCCACCCTGTCCCCCACCCCCCAGAAAATAAACTCCTTGTAACCGAGCAGTCTAAGATCAGAAAATATAATAAACCCCTCAAAACCAATCCGTGTAAGCAATCTAAAATTGGTTTCTATTCATGCCAAAACAATAACAAGGGTGCGTAATGAATACTGCAATGAACCACCGTACAGTCTTGCGGCAACAGAGGTTTTTGCTAAACTACAACTGTTGTTGGCTACCTCGTGCCTACTGGGCAGATACCACAAAACTACACAAGCAGGATGACGGAGCACTGTAGACAAGCCCCCCGTAAAATGATGCACTGAACTGTACATTAAAATTACAAAAGCAGGATGTTGGAGTGTTATAAACAAGCCCCTCACAACATGGTGAACTGAACTGAACTGTACTTTGTCACTTAGCTGTTGTTCTTGTTATTATTAATGTTATAAATTTACGCATGAGCTCCTGAAGACCCCCTCAGGAAAAAAAAGAAAAAAAACAAAACAAAAACAAAAAACAAAAAACAGAAAAAAAAACAAACAAACAAAAAAAAAAACAAAAAATATTATAGTAATAATAATAATAATAATTAATAAATAATTTAAGTTAGATATTATTATTATCATTAGTAAGCGCATATCCATTAAAATCCCCTTCTCCTGCCTTTATGCATCTGCGATACAAATAAAGATATATTTATAGTTGTAACATTTTCTGAACTCATGCAGTCGTTGGTGAACTTACGTGTATTTTATGAACTGTGTTGTCTTTACTGAACTATATTGTCTTTATTGAACTATAAAAATAAGACACCTGATGAGAATGACAGACCTTCTGAGCGGACTAAAATTTTTTAAAATAACATCAGTCTATGTTCCCTTCTACATTAGTGAGCTCACTAGAACTTAATAACAGTGTAACATAGCTATTTATCTATTTAGTTCTCGTACCATAGCTAAATGAGTATTTACCACTTACTTAATGCTATGCATTCTTATTAAAAAATAACTAACGTATTTGTGGCTAGTCTTCCCGCAGCTGCATGTAGTTTACGCTCAATGAACTGATGTGTAGTCCTTGAACTACTGGTGTGGTTATTGATCTGTTGTGTACTTATTGAACTGCTGTGTGGTTATTGAACTAACAAAAAGGAAAACTAGGGCAAATTTTTATTACATTTGGGACAAAATGTTGTCACATTTAGGACTTTATTACATTTAGGCCTTCTACAAATGGACTGTTAAATCCAGGGAGCGTGGGGAAGATGTGGACAGATCCGGGGAAGTCTAAGAAGTCTGACTGCCCAACTTTAGAGTTTGTTGGCGAGGACAGGTTGATAGTCTTTTCTTCCACTTAGAGTGATGGGTTAGGATAAACGAAATAAACCCTTCCACGGGTTTTTTCAACTTTTGACATGGACAAGTTAGGGACAATCCGTCGACACAACTGGAAAAAGCGCCTCAAAATTAGTAAAATTTCCAAGTTTGAGAGTGATTTGTCAGAAAAAAAAAAAAAAAACGAAAATAATTATAGCTCCTCAAAATGGCGAAATTTTGCAGACGTTTGTATGGTGGAGGGTACAAACTTGCGTCTGACCATACAACTTTGGTTACTGGCTATATCTTCGCTCACTTAAGACGTATCGCTTTCAAATTTGACAGTTTTACGAATTTCAAGGCGCCCTTGTCAGTGGTGTGACGAAGGATTTTACCAAACTGGCTCATGTCAAAGGGTGTATTTAGTAAAGGGCGACGTCAGGGTAAACAGATCCGTTTCCTTAAATTCGCCGCTATTAACTACATCAGACTTCGTGGCATTTCATTCAAATACTTTATTGATAAAGCAGGAGATTAAACTCCAGGTTTTGAATAGAAGAAATGCTTGGTTTCTTGCCTGGTGCCGTCTCTCTTAAAGGATTGCATGATCATCTTATCTTTACTTAGAATAAAGTGAAATTACGAATAAGAAAGGTAAGGGTTTCACACGTGATGAAGGATTCAGGCAGCGGCACTTTCTTCACCACCAGTTTCTTCCATCGGTTCCACTCCAGCTCCTATCAAAATTAAAGAAAAGGAAAAAAATAGTAGTTACTCACGGTGTAACTTAATTGAGCAATACATTATTTTAACCGAGGTTGATTATTTGAACATATCATAGACCATTTTACAGTTAACGGCGAAAACGAGGCGGGAGTTGACCAATACAACCCTTCCTGCTTTACTATGTAAATCCTGATGTTTTATGCTAACTAGGAATTTTTTTTTTGCACAGTTTCCATGAGAAAAGGAAAGAGGTTTGTGTTAAAACAAGGTCAACCCCAGCCTCACGTTCACTCAAAGGCTAGGACACCAAGCTCACAAGTGTGAAATGGTCTATTTTCAATGCTACATTTCCATCCTTGGTCAAAAGCAGTTGACACCAGCCATAGACATTTTAAATCAAAACTGATGTGCAACCCTTGCACATCAAAATGCCGCGTCTCCTGTTTGTCAAACACGAGAGAAAACTCGTCAAGTGTAATAACATTAGTCTACAGATGGAAGATGAAAATAAATAGAATATATTAGAAATATTTGAAATAGATAAAAGTTACCTTGACTGAATTCTTTCAGGTCAACGTAATCTAGGTCTGCACAGTCAACCACACGTCGGCGGGATTTTATTGTTTTGAATACCAACGCTGAATGCGGGTGGCACCGTCAAGGTTGTCGCACATGACTCTAGCCATAGTAACTTTTCTTATTTCATCCAGCTGTTTGAGCGTAAAGGCGGTCAAGTGGTCATCTCTCTCGTACCAAAAGCGATCACCAGAGCGGAACTTTCCCATATGCTTTAGTATAACATGGGTATTTACGCTTCCAAGCACCCTTCCTGGAAAGGGGCTCTCTGCTATGCTGCCGGGAAAAACATCAATATCTTTGACATTTTTGTATACAACCTTAAATCTTGCAATCTGCTCTGAAGAGAAACTATCCGAAAGGTCATCAAAAGAATTAACAGCTCCCAATCCATGCACTTCTCGATAATGGGCGTAACCTGGTAGGCCATGGTCCCGAGCACGCTGCACATTGATGGCCATGAGATCGCCAAAGATATTGCCTTCAATGACGAGTCGCTCGCGTACAGCGTTCACAAAGATACTATAAAAGGAATGAGATTCTATTAGAGAAATCATCTTTCTAATACTAAGCGTCTACATTAAAGAAGGAGCAGTTGTTCACAAACAATGACTCAATCAAAAAAGTTACAAGGCCATCTGGGGACTAAGAATAATTTTGTACTTAAGTCCAATAGTCAGGTCAGTGCTTATTGCAGCTGATTTAACAAGAAAATTTGAACTTAAGAACGCGTTACTCGACTTTTCGATGCTTCGAACATCATTATCAAGAGTGTAAAGTTTCAAAGTTGTTAAAAGAGGTATAGTTTGAATAAATAAGATTGCATTCGTGCGTGCTTCATTATTATGGGTGGATTCATTTGCAGCATACGGGTATATACATCGCATTTGCCCGTTTGAATTTTTTATTGTTTTTGAGCTTAAAAAAAAAAATTCCAGTGGGCAAATGGGACGGGTATACCGTCGTATGCTGCAAATAATCCACCCTATGTAAATGTATTTAATAGAAAAGCTTAGCGCGAATCGAATCCGATTCAATGTTCAGTGATGGTTTGAGTTTTTGTATAAATAGTATCTCGTAGACAAGGCTTTTGAATTCATTTCTGCATTTTTTGAGGACCGAAAAATTGTCCGTGAGGGTTGGCTTCTCGGCCCCATGTTCTTTCACGCATGATGTACCTTCCGATCAACGAGCTGAGCTTGTGTAGTTCGCTGATGCGAGGAAGTAGGTGTCGATTAGAGAAACCGAAATAATCCATGTCACATGATAGACCACATTAGAAAAATTTATGTGTGAAAAGAAGCCCTATCCGGTATGGTTTTCGTGCCGACGTAAGAGCTATAGATATAGTGTGAACACAGCGGTAGGCTATGTTCACACTATGAGGGAGTCATGTAGCGTTGTCATGAAAATTTAACCATATGACGCTATTAAGACTGTACGACACAAAAGGGTATGATGGAGTATAAAAGAACACAACGTTACACGGACAGAATGCTAAAAAGGGTCACCAACAAACGATGGGAGTTTGAACTTCATGCGGGCTGACTGTGAAGACCTTTGGCGAGAGAGGAAGCTAAAACTGCAGTCTTGGTTACGTGGATCCGATATGCTTGGATCAGGAAATGGACAGGGCATGCGCGCAGTGCTGGTGTGTTGCTAGCGTGCTGTGTCAGTAAAAATACTACACCGCTGGAGTTAGAGTCCTAGGGACCTAAATCAGGCCCAGTCTGAATATCATTAAGGGTTAAAGAGCGCTCTACTTACCGATCAGGAGTCTGAGCCTCGAAAAATATCAACCCGAACAAAATTCTTGTAAGGACGCTTTGTTCATTTTTATTAAAAAACCTTGTTGGGGTGAAGAAGTCAACTAGCTCAGCAAAACGAATGTCTCTAGGCAGGGACCGATCAGATCCTCTAAATCGACTAAAGGTGCCGTCGGCTGCTGTCAGAGCAAAAAGGGCGCGAATTGAACTGTGACCCATTCTCAGAGCGGATGTAGAGAAAACGTTGGTGCATTGCACATTCACTTCGGGGTTATATCCAGTGAAGAATTTTCCTTTAGGTTCTAAAAGAACACCAAATTGTTTTCTCTGAAAAAGAAATATAAAAAAATTTTTAAAATGCGTTCTCTTGTATTAAATGCCGGGGCAAGGATGACGCAAATAATGTGTGTGCTCTCGCCGATCAGTTATCAGTTAAGTGGCCGTTTTTTTTTTCCAAGTATGGAGGCCCCCTTAGTTTAGACTCTGTTTATAAAGAGTTAGAGCTCAACATACGTGCACGCTGGACCAAGCGTTAGAACACAAAGAAACAAATAAAAGAATAAATGATTGCAAAGGCAAGAATCATGCAAAATTGTCACTTTGACAACATGACGCATTTACCAGTTTCCAAGTTAGAGCATTTTTAGCGAATCAGTAAAATACTAGACAAAGTGCAAATGTATTTGATTTTAAAGCGAAGTTAAAATTTAGGAACGAATTCTTCCGTGAGAGTTCAACTATTTAAAATTTACTGTTTTTTTTATTGTAACAAAAAACTTATTCTCTGCACTGGTCAACATGTCTTTTTTTTAGCATTGAACTGACAGTCACACAGTGACTCTTTTTCAGTACCAACCCTTTTTCGAAGAACGGTTAAGGTAAAATTAAACTTAAAAACATCTCAAGAATATGACTAAGGCTGAGATTCATAGCCAAAACGTTATTTTAAACAACATAGAGACTGAATTAAGAAAAAAAAAATTCAAATTCAAAACTTAAAAATTTGAAATTTGTTTACCGGTTCTTAAGTCTCATCAAACTGTGGGTCTCCTAGGAAATTAATTGCGCATTGCCCATGACGTATGCTTTTAGGGAAGTCAAATTTTAAACCACAGTACGTTCTAACAGTTAAATTAATTAAATGCGTAAGAATATTAGTGAAATGATTATGAACAGAAGAACAAGTTAGTTCAAGAGGCCGTAACAGGACTCATTATAGGTGCGGATATAATTAACGTACTTTGATAAAGTTCTTACCAATTCTTTACTGGGGAATAATACTGGAAGCCACTCATTATAGGTGATATGCTGAAGCTCTGCTATTACAATCTTACGCGCCTCTTGAAACAGTGTCTCGTCATCCGCGTAGGGACGGAGTAATTTAAGGTTTGTTGCAATACGGTTGTGCTCGCGGACCCACAAAGTGTGCATCGCCATAAGAGCTGCAATAAAATTACTCCACGGTTATTCCTTTATGCTGATTAAGAGACGAGTTTTGAATGACAATCTAGAATTTGTTAGTTAATTACTATAATACCAGTTTCTTACCAGTTTGCATCTCTATCATCTATCTGAGTAGCGCATCCACTTGCAATAAATATCCTCTAACAAATATGTCAATAAGGTAATTAGACTTGTCAAATTAGTTTTTTTTTTACGTTTGAATTCACCGGCTTTAATAACATTCCTGCACACACGGGCTTGCTTCCTTCGCCGATTTTTTTTTGCTCCCCTTTACTTGGGAGCCTGTTCGCAGGCTATATTCTAAGTGAGCGCCTTGAAATGCTACACGTACATGTCAGTGAAGCCTTGCTTGTTACAGTACAAATTGTGCCTCATGTATCTGGTTTCATCGATCATAAATGGGTACTTTGATTTAAAGGTTGTTTTAAATTAGTTTAGCCATATCTTGCCCTTTTCCATTCTATCTTATCTCTGNCGGAGTAATTTAAGGTTTGTTGCAATACGGTTGTGCTCGCGGACCCACAAAGTGTGCATCGCCATAAGAGCTGCAATAAAATTACTCCACGGTTATTCCTTTATGCTGATTAAGAGACGAGTTTTGAATGACAATCTAGAATTTGTTAGTTAATTACTATAATACCAGTTTCTTACCAGTTTGCATCTCTATCATCTATCTGAGTAGCGCATCCACTTGCAATAAATATCCTCTAACAAATATGTCAATAAGGTAATTAGACTTGTCAAATTAGTTTTTTTTTTACGTTTGAATTCACCGGCTTTAATAACATTCCTGCACACACGGGCTTGCTTCCTTCGCCGATTTTTTTTTGCTCCCCTTTACTTGGGAGCCTGTTCGCAGGCTATATTCTAAGTGAGCGCCTTGAAATGCTACACGTACATGTCAGTGAAGCCTTGCTTGTTACAGTACAAATTGTGCCTCATGTATCTGGTTTCATCGATCATAAATGGGTACTTTGATTTAAAGGTTGTTTTAAATTAGTTTAGCCATATCTTGCCCTTTTCCATTCTATCTTATCTCTGTCTTTAGTTTTCTTTTCATTCATTCATTCATTCTTTCTCCCTTTATCTTAAATAAGTAGTGATTGTAAATGAATCAAACGAATAGAAAGATGACAAAACACACAAAACGAATTATGCGTCTTGGACGGCAGTTTCATGCAGTGATACTATTTTAAATAATATGACTGTATTCTTTTTACTTGAATTTTGAGTGGCGATTTGAAAGATTTTTAAAAAGAGAATGTCTTTTCTACCTTGGTTTTCATTGACTCGAGCATCACCAGCAATAAAGCAAGGTTTTTCTTCTGGATTGGGAGATCTACAGAAAGCTTCTTAATTAGCATCAGGAAGTCTTGGCAGGCCTCCAATGGTTCTCAGTGGCACCGTATCTAGAAGTCCATGGCCTTTGGGACTTCGAAGCTGTTTAGCTAATTCATCGCTTGATCCGTACACTTGTGACCCGTCAACATAAGCGGTAATAATATTTATCTGTAATAATAAAGACGTTATTGGTATAAGAGACAATATTTATTTCAAATGAAAAATAAAATTGACAATTATTAGACGAGGCTGAGTACTGACATATTAATAAATATAAATAAACTCATGGACTGGAAGCAATCTGCCATTTTAACGGAAGAGCGATTGCAAGAAGGAGAAAAGCGTGGCTTCATTTACACATAAGCAGAAGATTTTTTGCAGCCAAACACAGTTGGACTACATTTCGCATGAGAAGACCGTTATTTGTTGGTAGTTATTTGCAGGTCACGTGGTGGGCTCTAGACCAATGAAAAGGAAGAAAAATTTGCATCGAATGATAATAGTGTATGCCAACGAGTAAATAATGCTTTTCCATGGACTCTGAGTGTCATTCAAACCCTGGAGTCTTTGGTTAGTGCCATGTGATACTGCAGATGATTACCACGTTTTGGCTGGCCTTTTTTGCAAGATTAAAGTGGGAGCTACTGGTTTCGATACGTCTCTTTCAACACCTCGAAGATGTTCGCGGAAGCGGCCGCCTAGTCTGGCCTGTTTCGCTTATGCATAACTTTTACTCAAAACGTTTGGTCCTACTCTCACTCAAAACCTAGTTTGTGTTCTATTCTTAAGGGTTCTCGCGTCTGGAAAACTTTCCCACTCTGGGAAATCCACAGACAGCCCAAACTCAGTATGAGAGTTTAATCATTAACATGCTTCATGTGTGCTGATGCGAATTTAGCAATTTTTTATTTCTTCCATCGCTGTGTTTCTCCTCCTAAAATCGCATCAGATCGGGAAAAAAAATCACACAGGAAGCAAACAATAACTAACTTAATAAAGTTAAGCATTTTTTTGTTGGAAATTCCAGCGAGTATTGATCTTCTTGAATCTCTTACCTAATTTTTATTTAAGCACTTTAAGTTCACGACGGTTTTGAGGATTATGCAATAGGATACCACACGTGTTAATGATTAAACTCTCATACTGAGCTTGGGCTGCCTGTGGGAAACCACATGAAATAGACGCCATTCTGTGTATCAATGGACATTTATGAAAGAGTTAAATACTCCACTAACCTGGTCACCAGCTGGGTTTCTCACAGACCCCGCAAGAGGAATGCATTGTACAGATTCGTTAAATAACAGTTCTAAACCATTCGGGATTTTTATGTTAACACATTCAGGAATGGGTTGGCATGGTGCATTGTTTATCCCACAATCTAAGCCTTCAGACAGCTCTGTTAAGGTGATATCGTGATCTAGGAATTGTCCCCAGGTCATTGTCAGGTGGGTAAAATTCACAATAGTGCCATTGATATTCGCAGTATCATTGTTCTCCAAAGCTTCAACGCTAACTTTTCTGGGATTTGAAAGTAGCTTAAAATCAACTCCCAAACTTCGTGGTGCTTGACTACCAGGATCTCCTTCATAGTCGGGTGGCAGTAAACGCTCTAGAGGTTGTTCCGCGGATCCCAGAGTTATGTTACAAAGATTGTTGCATGTGCCGTCAAATGTGCGATACTTGCGTTTTAGGCATGCTAAAGCCGTTTTAAGGGGTGTTTCGCAGTTTGCTCTATTCTTCAGTATCTTCAAAAGCAGTCTGGCAGCTGCATCAGAGGACGATGCTTGGCGTACTTCGTAAGTGCCAACAATAACAGCAGGTTTTCCGGCAGGTTATTGGTATACCAATGGGCACCAACAGTGCACCTTTATTGGCTGATCTCTTCCTTCATACCTTCGAGTACGATTTCATGGTCAAAACAATGAAACAGGATATTACAAAAGCCATCCAATTCAGCAACACCTTTCGGTACATCGACGATTCATTCAGTGCTAACAAAATTGGAAATTACATCAGCGCAATTTACCCGTCGGAATTGGAACTTAAGGACACTTCCACATCATCTACTGAAGTGTGTTATCTCGACACTAATATCAAGACTGGCGAAAACACACTTTTCCGTATCAGCATCTACGATAAGAGAGAGGACTTTGCATTTCGGATTGTCAACTTTCCTCATATGGACAGCAACATTCCCGCCAATCCAGCTTACGGTGTTTATATATCTCAACTGGTGAGATATGCTAGAATTTGCACTTCCAAAGTTGACTTCATCGATAGATTCCGTGGACTTTCATTACCACTCAGACAGCAAGGCTTTGAAACCAATCTACTTCAGAAATCATTTAATAAATTGTTCAGTCGCCATGGTCTTATCGTAGAGAAGTATGGTGCAGCCCTGCGGGAGATGAGATTAGCAATCCAGGCTTGAATTGCACCATCGTATCCTTACATTGCTTATTTATTGCATAGTGCTGTATTTCAGTTGTATCTCGGTACGTGTGCGCGTACAATTTTATTTTGAGCGCGCGCATTATTTGTTTATTTATTTAATTGACGTGTACATTTAGTTCGTTTATTAACGTCTTAATTTTACTTTGCGTTATCTTCCTCACTTATACATTGTCCGTGACTGTGCTCACATGGTGGGTGGCTCCTCCTAAAATGTTCTACAATTGGTATAGGATTTAATGGAACCGAAACCAATTGCGGAATTGCACGCATTTTAGGCATCCTACTGATGAACAGTTGCGACACGTAGATATATATTTTTTAGCAACTAAGATAATTTGTAGTCTGTCTACTTTGAATTGAATGCATAGGAGAATGCTGAAATGGAAACAAAGGGAGCGGAAAACTAAAATTAACGTAAGATACCTTAATCCCGTGCGCGGAGCACCTGCATTCTCCCAAGTTAGCCTAAACAGGTTCTTACTTAAATGGTAATTAGTACAAATTTAGGCTATTTAGGTTCTTAAATAGGTTCTTATTTTCTGAAGAAAAATATATTGTGGTAGTATTCAGTTCATTCCTCAGGTAAAACCTGTATACAATTACAATTGCAGTTGGAGCCGCGAATAAGGCACTAATGTGTCCAAACAGGATCCTTAATGTCGACTTACACTCTTATTATTTGCCCACGTGTACAGAATCTTTTTCATAGATTTTAGAAAATAAGAACCTGTTTCAAATTTTAGGCTAAACAGGTTCTTGTATAGAGAAGAACTAGTTGGAAAATTTTAGCCTAACAGGTTCTTAACAACCAGTTTCTTAGTCGCCGGTTTTTATTGTATTTAGATATGGTTTATAGCATTTTTAGGGCTAGTTGTTTGATGTATCAGGACTACCACACTTTTTTACTTGAAGCTTTTAGCTTTTAGCTCTCAGGATAAAACACGCTCACTTTTTACAAGTTTAAATTTCGAGTTTATATTAAAGCCACTTTATTTTTTCAAAAGAACTGGCTTGGATAGCTCTGAATAAGCCCTTTACGGATAGTCACTCACGTGGTACAAAACAGCCATGCTGGAGAGGAAGGGAGGCACTAGGGTGAGACAAACAAAGCAAATTACCATTTTACATGGGGCGCTTTCCATATTCAACCAAAACTTTGGAAAATTTGGAAACAGAGGCAATGGTACAGAAATTTCCCGGAAAAGATTCCAGAAATTCTTGAAACTGTTGAATTTCCGAAATGAGAATCATTCAACCAAAAATTCTGCAAATTCTGGGCGCAAAGTTAAATGGAAAGAAAACTTCCAGGAAAACATTTTCGAAAATTTGGGTATACCTCGCGAGGCTTTCCCCTTTTTTTGGAAATTGGAAGTTGCCAAAAATTCAAACCGGTCGTTTTGGTTGAGTGGAAAGCGCCCACGATGTACATGAACCCATGGATGTTTTGTACCATGACTAACTGAAAAGGGCCTCTTAACTCCCACCAATGCAATTTAACTTTGTGAATAGTTGAACTTTGGTATGCTGATTACACTTTGGCAATAATTAAAAATGTACCAGCTACTGGGAGTCAAAAACGTTAAAGCAGTCAAGAATAAACTCAGCAAAAGGTTCCAGGAGAAAGACTTGTAGACAGTCAATGGTGCAATTTCAAAAATACTGATCTTTTTCAGTTCCATTCTCAAGTGTCAGTCTTAAATAATAAAACAAAATTACGTTGATTAAGGTTAAGGTCTCTGATCTGTTAATGTACCAATTTAGGTGGGCAATGAACAATTTACCATTTTCACATAGACCATAATGCACCTTGTTTATCCCCAAAATTTTGCTTAACCATTGTCTTGGATTTCTCTTGGGACGACTGTTATACTTCCAGGAGAAACTGGAAACAAGAGTTATGCAACATTTTTGGGGGTAAGCAAGGTGCATTACGGTCTATGTGAAAGTAGTGAATTGATAAATTAGAATACAAGTCAAACTCACGTAATAAGGAAACTGAAAGAACCGAGCTGTGTCCGCATTATTAACAATTGACCACACTTGTCTATAATTGGCTCTATTTAGCAAAGGAAATTTATTTCTGAAAGAAATAAATGGTTTTATGCTTAATGGGTGTGCCCTCACCTTTGCTGGGATAAATCTTCTTGTGTATCTGGACTTTCCTAGCTTGATATGCTTAAATGAAATAAACGGCCACTCTTGTGGCCAAATTTATCCCAAACTGGAATTGTCATTAATGGGTATCCCAGCAAACAGAGCTCACCCAAAGCAAGACTCCACCAACAGCAATAACTGACTCAATAATACTATCTAAAGGAACATGGAGCATAAATAGAATTTGGCCCAGTTTTTCCGAGTGTCTGTTTAGTGATAGATCACGTCAGGCAACTTCAAAATGTTGAAAATAGGAAAAAGTGGCACACAAACCTCAGGCTTTACTTCCTTATAAACAACTCCTTCTTAACATCTGTCAACACCTTTGCTATAGTTGAATATCCGTAATAATCTCGATCGACGGCATCACGATCAAGAAAGATTCGCAAAAACAACGACTTTACGCTTGTATGTATAAGACCATCTTTGGTATATTTCTCTGACGTTGTCGCATGAGAACGACGTGAAACTTTCTATTTTTACGTTACGGAAGATCCCTGCAGAATATATTTCGCCTGCATTTGAAAAATTGAACGAGAGGGAATAAGAGCGATGAACTGTCTTTCACTTTTTAAGTGACGTTTTCGCCGTCGAGCTTTTGGTATCTTGACTAACTCCCTACTATATAGTATGAACCATAGTTATTAGAGGAGACTGGTTATGAAAAGCTGCAAACATCAATGATAAAAACAACAGTGCTGCAGTTTATGTTGGAAGTACCGTGAAAGTGCACAATCCTTTGTTTTCTGTTGGCAAATTGTTACGGAATAAATTAATGCAACGTTTTTATTGGTCAATACAATCAAAATGATAGGAATTCTTTTGAACGTTGTGCACTTTCAGGTCTACAAAAACATATAACAAAGGAGTCTGACGGGTTTCATAACCATTCCACTCAATTAACTATGTGTTAACGAAACAGTGCGCAGATAATTATATTCATTTGTCATGATGCTTTCCTCTAACAAATAAGCTCCGGCGAGAAATCGCTCTGTCAATATTGTGCCCGTAAATTAAAAAGTGATGTCTGTAAGAGAAATTTACACTACACTGGGACGATTTTTAAGCCTGTAAACGTAAATTATGTGACAGACAAATCTTAGGTTTTCGAGGGCAGAGAGAGACTGTCGGCCATGAGTAGTTAACTAATAGTTTCTTCTGTTTCTTCCCCGTTTTCCTAGGTGAAAGTAAAAACGGTAGCATAATACCTTGTTGCCTTCATTTTCTCTTTAATTGCTTCTACCTTTCCGACTGTTGAGACAAGAAAATGGATATTTTGATGAATCAGTATTGTCTTGTAAAATAATGCTAAACTTATTTGCACTAAGCGGCACGCGCTGACTAAAATAATCTGAATTACTGAAATAATCTAAATAGAACCTATCAGGTCAAAAAACGTGGCAGGAATCAAGCATTTGGTTACAATCATGGCCAAGGATTTAAACTCGCAGCGACCAAAATTAAAGCAAATCTATCTTTATTGGTCAGAGCGAATTGACCCTCAGGGCTGAATCGCAGGACCACCGTAAGGCTAGTTTGACTCTCTGACTATTCAGCAACGATTTGTTGAGGGCAAACAGACTTAAAATATTATTTAAATGCTTTAGGAGAACCGATGGGTAAATTGAAGGCGTGAACACAACTATACAAGACAAAAGCTAACAAAGGTTAGAAAAGATTCTTTTTCAGACAACGTACTCGTACGAGCCAAAAAGAGAATATCCTAATACGGTTTTTCATCATTGATTTAAGAAACCAAACACCTTAAAGTATTTTTGAAAAGAGACAACATCGAGTACAACAATCTTTCTTCGTAAACGTTGACTCGTTGAATAAAACGTGTGCACAATGCCTTCGTAAAAAGAGTAACGATTGTCTAGACTTAGATCATGGACTATGCCAGTAAGCCCAATATTCAACTAAAGTTGTTCAACTTATTTACCAAAAATGATGGATATGATGTAAGGGAAAACGTTTTGAATAAGTACCTTATCGAAGCTTTAGTAGAGAAACCAAGATACTGCAGTCTAAGAATTCTCTGACTTGAGGCCTCGGTATCTTTTCTAGTGAGCTTGCCGCTCGCAGTGAGGTTATCTGAGCAACTTTCTTCCTTTTATATCATTTTTATCTGACTTCCTCTTTTTTTTTTATTTTTTATTTTTTTTTATTGCAAGTGAAACACACA